TCTCTACGTTAATGAGTTACCGCTGTTGCTTAGGTCGTCGACATTAATTGTTTGCGGATGATGTAAAAATCTGGAGAACAATAAAAAGTGCGGCTGATCATCTGGATCTTAAAGCTGACTTAGACGATTTATTTAGATGGGCTGGAGAGTGGGGCTTAGAAATCAATGCTAGGAAGTGTGTGCTAATGCACATCGGTCACAATAATAGTTAACGTTATACTATTGAGGGTAAACCTCTTCCATGTGCTCAAGAACATAAAGACTTAGAAGTAGTAATAAGTCATGATTTAAAAACAACTACTCATTGCAAAGCAGCCGCTGTCAAAGGTTTTCGTGCGTTATAGTCACGTCGCCGAGCGTTCAAATCTTTTGACGAGGAAACGTTTCGAATTTTATATCCCATATATGTAAGACCACATTTAGAGTACTGTATTCAAGTAGCTAGCCCGTGCCTGGTGAATGATACTAACTCCCTTGAGCGTGTCCAGCGTGTGGGAACGAAATTAGTGAAGGGTCTTCCTGGACTCCCTTACGAAGAGCGTTTAAAACACCCGAACCTTTTCCCCTTGTCGTATCATATGACACGAGGTGACCTTATACTGGCATTTCGTATCTTTAATTATGATTTGGGTGTTAATATGTCTTATCTTTTTGCTCCCTCCAGCACTAATAATCTCCGAGGTCATAGCAAGAAGGTTCATAAACCACGATCTAATAAACCTAAAATGGGGTCCCGTTTTTCTCATCGAGTAGTCAATGATTGGAACGCTTTCCCCGAACAAGTGGTATCAGCCTTATCAGTGAATATTTTCAAGGAGAAGCTGGACCTTCACTGTAAAGCAATGTGCCAGGATTAGTACAGGTTCATCAACCTACTATCTTTATTACTGAAGACTGAGAAGAAACTGAGGAGTTAGCTTGGTTTCAGTTATATACAGGATATCTCAACTACGATTCTACCCCTAACCACCATCATGCGTGATGTATGTCATGAACGTTATTTGATTGCAAGACTGTCTCGAACTCAGCAAAACTGTTTAGAATTTTCTTTTCGAAACTTATATCTGGGAGACTCATTGACATCTTTACAATAGCTTACAAATTTATCTTTAGCACATTTTCAAATACACCCGGAAATCGACTGTGATTTTCTCCTATGATTTACATAAACAGCAAATTGTTCTTTCGAAAAAGGTGAACATATTTTGAATATCAGTACTGGTTTTCGTTATTTAGGAAGACGTCATTTCATCTTCCGTGGCTCACTTCTCAGTTTTTCGTGGTAAAAAGTTTCGTCTCTGTAATATGCAGTCAAAAAAAGTAGTCTCTCTTATGTCCGTTACAGTGGACTCAGTATGTTTAGTCGCCTTTGTGTAACTCGACTTTTAGGTTTGTATTGATATGACTCTTCCACATATAGTAGGTATATTTTACATATATGAAGACCTTGGGTTACATTTAAACCTATCGTAATGACTCAGGGATACGTACATTCGTTATCTTCTTGTAACTCGTCGTTTCCTACTTTTCATTTATAGACTCCATTTATTTTGTGGAATTAGTTTTGTTTCATAGTTCTATGTTTTCTTTTATTTATATAAAATGCAGCAATTAGGATAAGTACATATTTTATGCGTGGTTCTGTTTGCTACGTATTTGGTCAACAAATTTCTTTAATTTCCCACTGGTAGCTTCAGTTAAGTTTTTTTTCCATCCCTTTTTTTCCAGCGTTCTCTCGAAGGTCATGTCGGAGATGTATATACCTGCAAATTTTTTCCATCTGGGCTAGTTGCACTCACAGCAGGCAGTGATATGCAGTTAAAAATTTGGTGTCTCATTACTGGTCGTTGTGCAGCCTCTCTTGGTTTAAATTGCACTAATTCTAATAATAAAAATGAACCAGGAGGTCATAGGACTGGTATCCTAGACACGGCCATCATAGATCGTGGTCGTAATATTGCTTCTATAGATCGACTAGGTTGGTTAAGGCTATGGGATGTAGCGACACAAGTAAGTAAATCAAATTTGAATGATTACAAATTTAAGGTTTTTTCATCCACTTAAAACTTTCGTACGAATAGCTAGAAATAAGGGAAATAGCAGAAGTTGTAAGCACTAAATTCCATATCAAATGAGTTTTTACTTGCATGTAAAACGATTATCGTTTTCTTCGCTATGGAAGGCTAAACCGTTGTATTCTGGAGTGTAATTAGACTTGTGTGAGACTTTCCCAATGCATTTTGTGCGATACTATGATCTAAAAATAATCGTCGAATTCCTCTTAAAACTGCCACACAGAGAAACAAACTTATTTCATCATTAGGCTAAATAACTCAATAGTCAGCCAACCATCATTAACAAAGAGCCTCATGCCAGTGGAAGATGCCGTACGAAATCAGCACAAGATGAGATTAACATAATGAGTAACTGAAGTATCGAAATAATAGTAACACTAGTCACTAACGGTATGATCCGACAAGACGTAGTGAAAAAGTTTTGTGTTGTTGAAATTTGAATAGGCGGAAGTTGAAGTCTGAAAGCATTTGGGTCATAGTAACCAGCAGTGTTATCCATCATCAGTCACTGATTGCGGTTATCGCGTAGACCCCATCTAGCTAGTTTAGATCTACTAACATGGCTCAGACCTATGGTTATTTACTTTTTAAAGTGATCCCTGGTTATGGTTTGGCAGCCCCTATTCCCCGTTTTGAATTATATGGTCGACAGTACGTTGTGATAGACGGGTTTCGAGTACAAGCAACACATTTCCCAGACAGTCGATGAAGATTCTCATTCTCAACAACAGAGTACTAGTTAGTTGACATGGATGTGAGTTACATGTTTGCATGAAGTCTAACAACAAATATTTCCTGGCTAGTTGTATACTGCTTTTTGGAATTCATAGTATTTACCTGTTATTGCAAAACATATAAACTGTGCTATTCGAGATATTGTGTATCAGTCAATATGCACTAATATGAAGTGCAGAAACATCATATCTTTCAACCTTTCTAAATCTAGAGTATACACCAGACAATAGGAAAAACTGAAGTTCACCGAAACAGTCTTTTTTAGATAAACCTTGGTTTGGTCCACAGAAAATATTCGCCTTAAAATTCCAAATAAAGAAATACATATTTAAATACATAACTTAGCAGTTTAATTACTTGAGTTGGTACTATTAATTTACGGGGTGTAGGACGTATTTTGAGCTAGCAGTATTGACGTTATGCATAAGCTACTAGGCAAATCGGTTGATGAGTTTATGAATCCTTACTAATCAAAGTAGCCAATACATGTATTACGTATGTTTAGTCACCTCTTACTCCGACGGGCATTGCTTTCTAGTGTAGGAGTAAGTTGTAGGAAAGCTGGAGACGACATAGCATCAGTCCATGAAGTCCCTAACTGTTTATCTGAATCATGTAAATAAATGAAAAGTAACTGGATGGGGCCAGCGTGATCAGTAGTTGAGGACTTTGATCAATATAATGTAAAATCGTTAATAATGGCCCTGATGCATACACTCATTATCTTTTTTCAGATTTGAATCCCATTATTGCTTCATATATCTCTTTACACTTCCCTAGTTTCAATCCTCAGTCTTTTTCACTATCATTACTACCACATTGTTCCTGTCTCACTTGATATTCTTGTCAGTTTCATCTCATCGCCCTATTGCAGTATGACACTTAAGGTCAGTTTAAACAAATGCCAGACCAACGAGTACCCATCGGCCACCTAAACGACTCTCTTCTGTGCCTAGACGCCCGACCTGAGCATTCAAGTCTCCGGCTAGTACCACAATATCTGTCGAACGCACTTTCTGGAGAACAGATAACTGGTGGTAAAACTCATCCTTGATTGCATCCGGGCTGCAATCTGTCGGGATATAGGCGGAGATGACGAAAAGACATCGTTTCTCACGCCGATTTCTCACTTTGATGGAACTTTCCAATCTAACAGCACATAACCGACTGTTAATGGGGATCCAATCGATTAGTGCTGCCTCAGCTCTAGCGCTTAGTGCGACACCAACGCCAGCAAGACCAGACGAAGATGCCACAGGGTCCCCGGATAAGCGCACGTAAAACAAGCTTTCCGAAGCGACAGATGGAGATCGAATTTGTAGTACTTCGCCAGAGTCTTGAATACGGGTCTCGGATAGACAACAAACATCAGTATTAAGACTTTCCAAAGACATAGCCAGCCCTATCTGTTGTCCGACCTGCATAAATGTGCGAACGTTGAAGGCAGCTAGTTTGAATGGTGTACGTGGTTTCAGAAAAACTGCTTCAGTTCTCGTATTCGGTGGTAACATACAATTTTCAACCGGACAGTGACACGAGAACGTTTAGATACAGCCGAATTTCCACCAAAGACGGGCCGCTGTATAAGTATAAAAGAGGGTGAATAATGTGGAAAATAATAATAATAATAATGACAATAATAGTAATAATGATAATAGTATTAATAATGACAATAATTTGAATCAATTGTTTTTCGAAGCGAGAAAAGTAATTTCCATAGACATAAAGAGTTCATCATCTTGAAACACCGACTTCGGTGGCTTGGACATGTTCTACGAATGTCGTCCCAGAGAATTCCACGTCGTGCATTATTTACCGACTCTAAGACTGGTTGGACGAGGCGGATAGGTGGTCAGTGCATGACATAGTGTCGTGGCATGAAAGAAAGCTGCAAAGGACTGGCTTCTGTTGGTCCTTCACGACTCCCTGGTTGGGGTCTAAGAGATGGTGCTACACAGTGGCTAGAGACGTTATCAGATATGGTTCAGAATAGAAGCCAGTGGCGATCCTGCTGTAACCTTCTTTTACTTTCTTCATAAAAAGTGGTTGTGTCTCCCTTGCCTGAAAGATTTCTTCTGATTGTACCTTTCCGTTCCCTCGTTACTACCACACTACCTTACTCCAATCTCTTCGTTATTGTTCTCTTTTTCTTTTTGCGCTCCTTAGTTTTTTTTTCTTTCTATTTCTCTTCGAATTCTCATTGTTTTGTGTGGCGCATATATATTGGCGCTCTCTTGTACCAATATTCATGTGTTCAAATAAATAAATGAAAATTCTATGTTGATGATAACTCATTGGCTACAAATTGTGTTTCACCTAGACCGATTTAGAGTTTACTTTATCGCTAATCCTCATACAAGTGTTACAAAGTTGGATGCATAGAAATTTACTTAATTATCAAGGTATATTGACATTATTGCAAGTTATCATCTTTTAGTTTGTATACAACTATAAAGCAACTAGCAAATGGTCAAACCTCTGGTTTTTTCGAACAGAAATTTTAAAATGGATGTAATTAATCCGAAAATAAACGTTCAATTCTGCTTAGATTCAAAAAGACAATTTCAAAACAGTTAAACTTCTGAAATTAGGAAGTTAAACATATTAATTCTATTGCGTTGGCCCTGTTACTTTGGGATTTTTATATTCTTACTTATTCCATTTAGACTTGTATATCAGCAATCCCAGTAACCCTTAGTGCTGTTAAGCCACATACTGTTTCTTCAACGGTTCTCGAAGAAATAACATGTTTAGCAATCCGAAAACATCCTAGTTTACCGATTCAAACAGCTGATCTCATCAACCCAGATTCCTGGTATGAAGGCAAGTTATGGGTTGTTTATTTTAATTATATTGTAATATTAAAAACCTTTTGACTAAAGACAGCAAATATTCTAATAGCAAAATATATTTCACATTTATGTTGTGCATCACTATTCCTCATCATACATATATGTCAGACTAAAGTATCCTTTCCAGTTGCGATTCGTCATTTTCATATCTGCTTTCGATTCTCGACGTTGTGTGTTCCTTGGCCTTCTTTTTTTCCGTATCCCTTCGGGATTTCAAGTTAGCGTCTGCCTCGTGGTAAAGTTTCATGATTTCCGTAATGCATGTCCTATCTACCTCGAACGTGTTTCCCTAACTTCCTCTTCAGGTTGAAGCTGGCTTGTTCTCTCCTACAGTAGGCTGTTACTGATGGTATCCGGTCAACGGATATTGAGTATCTTGCGCAGACAACTGTTTATAAATACTTGCACCTTTTTGGTCATAGCTGTAGTAATCTACGACTCATTTCCGTACAGTAAAACTCTTGACGTTCATATTGAAGATCCTAACTTTGATATTAGCTGACAGTTGTTTTGAGTTCCATATGTTCTTCAACTGTAGGAATGCGACCCTTGCATTTACGTCTGCACCGGGTCCTCCTTGTTTATCGATGATTTCCAGGTACGCATACCTTTACTCCTCTTCTAAAGCTTCTCCATCAAGTGTGATTGTGTTCGCTGTGTAGTATCTGAAGATCTGGCCTTTTCCTTGTGTATGTTGAGGACTACTGCTCCACAGGCTGTCTTCACTTACATTTGTTGTTGCGTATGTGATAGAAGTCCAAATCGTCTAGTTGCATCCAAGCTGTCCACTATATTTTGTGCTTCCCCTGATACACATATATAGTCAATTCCTAGCGGTATATAAGAATACATCTGAATTCAACTGCATTGTTTACCTGTTGATTTATTTCTTAACAGTTCAAGAGACATCTTCAACAACAGCCCAAGAAGTTGCTACATCGGATGCCCTGATTGCTGTTGGGACTGGTACTAATGCATCAGTTCGTTTATATGAGCTGGGTGCTCGTCAGAAAGGCTGTGTTGCTCAGTGTACGTTACCGAGTGCCAGTGGATCGGTCGAGGCATGTGCTTTTCCTGAAGATATACCGATACCATTTTCAAAAGAAATTCAATTCATCAAGGTACCTAGAAGTTGTGTTTCTAGCTTTATGGACTATGGAATTTTTGCCGGTGGCCAGCAAGGAGAACTTGCCTCATGGGATATACGTCAAACAAAACAACCGTTATGGCAGTTAACTCGTAAGTTGATATTTGAGAAATTCATTGATATCTTAATTATCAACCTTTTTGAAATTGAATTACGTCAAAAAAAAACCTGAGTAGAATAACAATAATTGCCAGTAATATTTAATCCTAAAATTTCATAATGCTGTGACATTGAATATTTATTTAATTCTTTGAAATAGATGAAAAAGGAGCTGTTCAACAAATACGTGTATGTAGGCGACCTAATTGTCAATATCTATTGCTTGTTGTTAGCCGAAATGACGGACGAACTCTTGTTTATCCGTATGATCCAGCAACAGCACATAGTGATGCACAAATCCCTACTAGTCTGGAGCTTACTGGAGTGAATTGTGAACCTATATGTGGTCTTTCAATGGTTTATAAACCGTCAGGAGAAATTGGTGTTTGGAATGCAGCTCGCGGTGGAACTGTTAATCATTACACCAAACTTTTAGATGAGATAACGTTTAAAAACTTATAAGCGATTACAGAGGTCAAATGCGTGGAAATCAGATTTTTGTTTTGTCAACACGGTAAATTTTATCCTTGCATTGAAAACCATGATATTATATTTATCATATGCGTACAAATTGTTCTAAAAACAAACCAGTGATTTTTAAAAAAAATATCTTATTGTTATAAAATCACTCAAAAGGAATAAATTAACGACGATCAGTTTTCCCAGTCCCTCGTTTGCCTGAAAACAGATGTTTTGGTTTTAGTGTTGGAATATGACGATCTCCTTCTCCTTTCCGTGCTAATGTTACAACCTTACGTTGAGCAATTTTGGACATGCGTTTAACGGTATCATGCATTTTTTCATCACGTAAACCGGATCTAGATCGCGATACAGATGCACGTGCAATTGAAGCCTCACGGTGCAGATTTGGTGCTGAGTTCCGTGCTCTAGCAGCTCTCTTTAGTGAACGACCACGTTCGCCCTAAAAATTATAGAGAACAAATACCTAAGGTTATTTTGTCGACTAAACGTACGAAATGTGAAAAAGCTATTTAATATAAGCAACAGGTCCTCTATCTGTGGAAAATTCCGACCAGATTGTCGGGAAAGTATGTGATTTAAACAGCTAAAATCCTTTTAAAAGTTTATATAACTATACTTCTAAAAGTTGATTGAAAGAGAGAAATAAAGAAACGCTGACTTACTTGCTCATGCATATCCACTTCTAAACCAAGCTCACCCAGCTCTTGATGTATTTTATGTACACTGACTGAACGGGCGCTTCGAGGTACTTGAGGTCTACGTACTTGCTTACGAGCTCGTGATTCCAAAACACGCAATGCTCGTGCCTCTCTTATCCTATAATAGAGACGATTACATGCAGTTAAGCCTGATATAACACAACAAAGCTTACAAAGAAAAAAAGTGATTACAAAGAAGATAATGCATTCCAGTCAAAAGGTTTACTATGGTTCATGGTGCAATCACACCAAACATGTAACACGAATAGGCTAACGCATAGACAGAAAGTAGGACAACAAATCCGAATTAATCTCACTTTTAACCGTTGATGCATTTGAATGGTATACTTTTAAATTTCATGCTGCTGGGTTTAGTAGCTTCTCACTTTATTACTATTAAAATACTGATCATGAAGATATAACAGTTTGACAGGTCAACAATATCAATATACAAAAAAATCAAGCTTCGTCTCTTTCAAATCTAGAATTGAAGCAGCTGAAGTTACTAACGGTCATACATATAGACTCAATAGAATATGTAAAACGTCTTACTTCGCTGCGGTTTCTCTGATTTTTTTCATTTCTGGGTCATTTTCTTGCTTCAGTAATTCAGATTCATCGTAAAACCCAGCATTTTCGAAAGCAGCCTCTTGTTCTTCCAAAGCATTTAGTTTCTCCTCAATTTCAGGATCGAATAGGTCGATCAAGTTATGTCCATTCAAAATCTCAGGGATTATATCATTTGCCTCTTCAGGACATTTTATACGCCAATGCTCTCTTAAATTCAATATGAAGCCTTCATCAGGATCAGCTTCTGGTTCACGATCACGCACGGTTCGACAACGTTTCGATGAGTCTTCATCTTCGTCTTCAAGTTGCGAGCTAGGTTGGAGTGAATTAGCAATACGAAGACGTTTTAGCATACGTCTCCTTTGTTTATCTAGAACACCGTCGGGGATTATCGGTGGACGAGATGGTGCGTCTGTCTACATTAAAATAAATTTGTAAGAAAAGTGCATCGATCAGGGCGACTAGAAAAAAATATGTAATCGGCCGGTTAAAACTAGGACTGTGTAAAAAATATTAACATTTAAATAAGAGTTCTTGATATTTATTTTATTTGAACACATAAATATTGGTACAAGAGGGTACCAAATATATATGCGCCACACAAAACTATGAGAATGGGAAGAAAAAAAGAAGGAACGTAAAAGAAAAAATAATAATAACGACCACAGATTAGTGTAAGGTAGTGTACTACTACTACTACTACTACTAATAATAATAATAATAATAATAATAATAATAATAATAATAATAATGGGGGGGAACGGAAAGGTACAATCAGAAGAACTCTTTCAGTTAAGTAAGATACAACCACTTTTTACGAAGTGAAAGGTTACAGCAGGATCACCACTAGCTTCTATTCTGAGCCACATCTGATAAGGTCTCTAGCCACCGTGTCGCACCGTCACTCGGACTCCAGCCAAGGAGTCGTGAGGGACCAACAGAAACCAGCCCTTTGCAGCGTTCTTTCATGCCACGACACCATGTCATATACTGACCACCTCTCCGCTTATTCTAATCAGTCCTAGCGTCGGCAAATAATGCACGACGTGGAATTCTCTTGGATTACATTCGTTGTAGATCCGACCTTTTACAGCCAGACTGACATCACGAAGGAGCCAAAGATGGCCCAGATTGGCTCTGGCTTTCACTAAACGTGCATTGACATCACCATTCATGCCACCACCAGCACTTGTGCAGCTGCTGCTTCCAGCTCATTAGCACGCCCCGACCACCAGGCTTTTCGGTCCTTACGCAAGTTTTGCCCGATTTCATTACGTAACAGCCTTCGTTTGTGGTGATATGTTTGAAATGTTTGAGATTGATTAACTCAACTCATTTACCATGTACGAATTTGTGTACTTGGCTTTCAGTAAGTATGAAGGTTAGCGATACTGCCCGGTTGGTCAAAACCAAGTGGGATGTGGTTTGAAATTGTGACTGTGGTCGGAGGTTGAACACGCTAACGACTGAGCTACTGCGTGAGATTAGCACTGCCTAAGCTGTGACCTGCCGGAGTCTTAAAGGTCGTGAAACTTAGTAACTTCAGATGTTGTCGGATATGGCTCATTATCAAAATCTGTGACGATAGTGAAGCAGTTGAGCGAAGTCAATCTTGAGGTTTTATTTTGTCAAGGTGCACAAACTATGATACAACACGGTAAATAAGTCCAGGTTTGTATACGGATTTTTGAGATATACTTTTGTAAGAAGGCTAATGATTTTACTTGGACGTCAAAATCACACAAGATGGAATTGAGTCCCGACACATAGATGCGGTATATCCCGTGAACTGGGACAGTGATGTTTTGTCAAGTGACAAGTGTTAGATGTAGAAGCATATAAAACCACAAAAATAGCATGTAGTATAATCATTCACCTGCAAAAAAAGTATGACATTACCTTGTTTCCGTCTGGTTTCGGTTTAGCTATATACAGTCGATTAGAGATATCAACATTACTGCCTGGCAGAGCGGCAGCTCGAATTTTTGCTTGTACACGTTGAGCTAACAAGTCATCACATGCAACTGAACGAACAGTTACTAAACCAACTTCAGTGACAGTGGACATTTCTACAAAGATTGGTCGATCCGGATCTCTGATCTGTCTATCAGTATGCCACTGAACAATACTATTAATTGATTGTTTATCTTCCTCAGATAGTGCTTCAAATGGTTTGATATCAACCTGGAAAGGGTGAATTGGAAGTTATTTGAGTTCTTACGATTTTTTGAACTGTTTTTAACTTAATGAATGAAACCAATTAGTTATTAGCTTCATTTTAAAAAGATATTAATGAGCCACCATTACATGGAAAAGTGTTAAAATTATTTGGAATACAAAATTATCCATTTACTAGAAATTACGTGCTTTACTCCTAATGAAGATTGAGTTTGTGAGTGGTTCATTCAAATAAACATAATATAGAGAAACCCACCTTAAGCATCTTTTACTACAGTAAAACACTTATTTTCTATGCACTTAAATGTCATGTTCAATTTACAACTTTATTTGTATGACGAAGATCGGAAGATACTTATGTTGCCATATATAATTGAACTTTACTACTAATCACTGCTTTTTACCGAAATTCTGGGAATTTCCTCTAGAAATTGGTCGCTAATAAATATCTGGTTTATATTAATGCAGGTGTATAGAGATTATTAGTTTATGGTTTACATCACGTACTGACTTAAAGTACATAACTATTAAGAGCGAGGAAGCAGTGGAAAGCTGTTTAGTCCCAGTATGAGACAACAACCCATGTTAATTACTCTGCAAGGGAATAGGTATGAAACTTTAAATCTCTCCCGGAAAGCCCTTCTTTGTTAGTAGGAACACAAAAATAGATCGAGGAACATCTTCTTAATAAATGACTGCACAAACCTACATTATTGCGTTTGTACAAAAAGAAAGGTAAACAAATTAACGTGAAGTAGGACTGGAGCACTGAAACATGGATGGTGTTTTTCAGGAAGCGAAATCTGCGGTACCCTAACGTGGAAATCAATAAAATCAGTTGAAGTAGTGATTATGAATACTGCTAGATTGAAAAAATATCGACAAGAACATCGAAGATGAGAGAGGTTTTAAATTCGGCAACATCACTTTTGAGTTGAACAAAAACCAAGATATAAGTTCTGTGTTTTTGTTAGGAACAAATACCTCGTCAATTTAATACAGGGTCCAAGCAAAAGTTACTGTACCAAATGAGGGTATAGAACTGATCGATGAAGCAAGACAAAGTTAAGGAGTCAGTAGTTCCAACCAGTTTATTTTATTGATCTAAAGTTCATCATGAGTATGATGGGGTATGTAAGTTAAATAATATTCTATGCAGTAACGTCAACATAATAGTAGGTAACGAATTCAAATTGAACACCAGTTGTAACATTAAATAAAACAATTCGCGACCATTAAGGTTATAGTTGGTATCGATGGCAAGGTTCAGTGGAAGTGATAGCAATAGTGCATTGCAATGTTAGAAAATCACTATCCAAATGTTATTATCTGGTATCTGTTGGAGTTGCTTGCTTTTTTTGTTTATATTCAACGTTGTTATTGATATGTCGAAAGAAATACCTAGTATTTGTCTGATTATCTGTGGATTCATTTTGTTATCGTGACGTTCACAATGAGCTGAAATGCCAGATGCTCCTTTAGATGTAGTTTTGTCTGGTGAAGACAGTGAGAAAGGACGAAACTGATTCGATGTATAACGGTATGGTTTAGAAGTGGTGACGAAGTGGCCATTGTTTTGGTTAGGAAAAAACCTAATCAAATTTGATATAGCTTCGATGCAAAAGTTACTGTACCATAAATGAGTACAAAACTGATCGTCGAAGCAAAACATAGTTAGGTGGTTAACAAGATTGGAGATTTCTGATGTCGAACTAGTTACCATCTATCTGGATTGTCACATCGCTTACTTCTCAGTCAATCAGGTCAAATCTACTTGGGTTACGCAAGTAACGTAGTTATGCGTACTGGAGACAGTGACACAGAACTGGACCCACTTACCGACATACACCATCTGTCGTTAGCAAAGTTTTTGTGGACACCGAAGGGCGAATATGCCGCACAACTGTTCGTTTTGTATCAAGTCAAAGGTGTGAAAAATCAAGATATAGTTGTAAACATTCAGTTAGTTTTTCGAAAGTTTGTTTGGACGCGGTGTTACTGCTAAGTAAAAAATACTGCTGTTAGGAGTACATTTATAGGTTACACACTGATAAATTAGTTCATACGGTTTTAAAGCTTCATTAGTTAAGGTTGTTGGGGCATGTGTTATTTATGTTCAGTGACTACCCCTCTTTGGTGAGGATAAGTTAGGATAGCATAATACAACAGGTGACTATGATAGAAATTTCAAAGACTCTACATAAACATAAGTAAACTTTGTTTTCCAGTCTTGAGTATAGCCAAAAAGAGTGCAGAGATAATAAAAAAATGAGTGAGAAAAGTATGTACAAATAAAAAAGTAAAATTTTCAGACCGAACCCAGTTATATTTATAACGGAGATTTCAAATAGAATAACCTGATCATACGTTTACAATTAAGTGATGAACGATAGCATTGTTTTTATGGTATATAGTTGAATGTTGTTGACAAGAAACTTCTGCTTATCATTTGCCCGCAATGGGCTCTTTTAGCATTAGACGGGATTTAGGTTGACTGACATGTCTACTTCTGTTGAGTACAACAAAAAATAAACAACAGGCGAGAAAATTATTTTGACCTTTCACATCAATATATTACGTGACTTGTTTGGAAATTCAGTGACCTAAGTGCAAAGTTGTGATGAATATCATCTGAACCTCTTGAACTGCAGTTTAAGTAGTCTAACTTAGATCGTCACTGTTTCCATCCATCAAAGTTCTAAAAGTCAGCTGTAATTACTTGCAGTTTAAGAAACGTATAGGTTAGACTGACAGAACTTTTACGGAACTTCTTTGTGGTACTCATTAGCTTTCTGACGGAAATCGCTTTAAAAACATGGGTCTATCTGAGTCTACACGAATAATTACTATGGGTTTATTATTAGTTTTATAACAGTTCAGTAAACTGAAACCACTGTCATCTTATCCTAGGGATTGACACAAGTGAAGAATTCGAATTCATAGATAAGGATCGACAATCATTAGGATTAGGTTACAATTAATTAAGAAGTTGCAAATGTAACAATAGTGGATTCTGATGATATAATTATATAGAGTGATGTAACAACACATCAATTATTTGGAGGTTTCAAGCTTACTTTATTAGCGGCTATTACAAGAGGTTTGTTACGGAAAAGAGGTCTCAAGTTTTGGAATAGCGTTAATTGTTGTTGTATAGTATATCCACACTGTTCAGACAAATCCATGATATATATTACAGCAGCCTGTAGATGTGCAAGTGCTGTAATGGACAGCATTTCGATCGTGTTATGTTCGTCCAAGGGTCTATTTAATACACCAGGTGTATCAATTACTTGCCATCGTAAATTTTTATAATCCGTGTGTCCAACAAATAAAGATTTAGTTGTAAACGGAAACGGCTGAACATCTACATCAGCTCGAGTTATCTGAATGAAGAAATGAAGGTAAATGGATATCACATTTCGATGCATACACATGAATGAAAAAATAAGCTTTATTCATGAAAAAAACACCATTTCACTAGAATTTATTTGGTAAGTACGTCAATGTGAAGAAACGTCTAAATTTTTCAAACATGTAAAAGACTGGCTAAACTAGTGTCAAGTTGAATTTTGTTCTACTGTGTCAATTCTAATATGACTGGCGCAGCTGTTTAGCATTAAAGTGTATTATATGAAGAGAACACTTGAAAGTTCTTATACTATCCCAGTTTCAACTCCTCGTCTAGAGATTATTTCCCACACAAAAACTCCACTTTAGTTGTGTATGGTTACAAGAACGATAGTTTTACATGTAATCAAAAGCCATATACATGTAAATGAAGCTTAATCGCTAGCAGAGATAACCACTTATATTAAGCGCTGGAAGTCTGATCAGCCCAAATGGGTTGGTGTCTGACGAAATCTCAGCACGGATTCGAAAAGCTCGTTTGGCTTTTGTCAACTTACGTCACCTATGGCGAAGGCGAGATATCCGTCTATCAAGTAAGGGACGAGTATACTGCGCGGCAGTCCGTTCAGCTTTAATTTACAGCAGCGAAACATGGCCATTAAGAGTAGAAGATACTCGTAAGCTACTAGTATTTAACCACAGATGCTCTAGAAATATTGCTGGCGTCTGCCGGGATGAGATGGTTGGGCCACGTGTTGCGTATGCCTGAACACCGATTACCAAGGCGTACAATGCTAACCGGTGCTGGAGATGGTTGGATGAAAGTTAAGGGCGGCCAAACCGAAACGTGGTATCAGTGCTTGATGTCACTAACTTCTAGTCTGAATCATGTTGATAGATGCAGACTACTTGGTTGGGGTCCGTGTGACTATTGTAACCAATGGTTGGAGACTTGGTGACATGGCTCAGAATCGATCATAAGGGCGTCGGTGTATACACTCTCTGTCTTCCCTTAAACTAAGAGGTTAAAATCGCTTCATATCTTTCTACGTACTGATTCTTTCTTCCTGTACTATATCCTTATATGCAATCTTTCTTTTATATATTGCCACCTCTGAATTAACTACTTTTATGAGTCCGGTGTCCATCTTGTTGTGTTAATGAGGTATGACAGCTTGGACCGATGCATATATGTACCTGGTCCTACGTTGTAGCTGACTGACTGACTTATATTAAGAGCATCTGAAAAGTCACTATAAGTAAAAGGATTTAAATAGATAACACCTATAATCACTTTTGGTTTAGTAAGTAGTTCCGTCCCAGTAAATGGATTTTTTTGTGGAAATTATGAATAACATAACAGCATGATGAGCAGAGATGCCATTTTGGTGTCAATTGATTACATTAAATCTTATATATCATAATCAAAGTTTTGCAAAGCATCCAAAATTATGGATAAATACTGGTTGGTATCACACTAGTCCGGTCGTTTGTTGCTTTTCGCCATTTGAAATCTACACTCTTAATGTGGTGACGATGAATTTAGGGTGAAATACCTAAAAAGATAAGTCTTCATGGAATTGTAAATGTAATTATTTCTACGCAACTGGGAATGGCCGGTAACACCGATGGTTGGTTGAATTGACTGGGAATCAAGTTATTATCATTTGATTTTTGTCAGTGAGATATATAGACCCGGAATTATAATCATTTAGATAGATCAGTTCACTCAGGGAAACTTGACAAATTACAATTTGCAAATGAATCTCTGGATTTATTGTAACTGGTCAGTAAAATGTTCAGCATAAAAAATATTATTTAAAGCAATGTGACATCTACTTTTTTAAGACGATTTAGTGATTCCCCTAGCTTTTTCTCGTTCGTTTTTTTCTGAGAGTAGTTTGCTTGTCTGAAATCAATGTGGAAGTAGTTTACATGAGTTAGTGAAGCATAAAACATGGGAACGAGATCATAGTTACATAAATACACAAGCGGCTCGAGAATACATAATAATACTGGCAAAAGAGGATACCAGACTTGCTAACTTACCTTATTTATAAAGCTCGACTTTCCAACATTCGGGAAACCACATAGAATGATAGTGCGAGTATCCGGATCAATGCTTGGTAACCTAGACATGTGTTGTCGTGTATCTTCCAAGAATTTCAAGTTATCTGCTTGTCTCTTGATTACTGTACACATCCTAACCTTTGGTTAATTGTAATTTATTTAACTTGCCTTCCTAGAGCAGCTCGTTTGAGTGTTTTACATTGATATAGGGATTCTGCATACTTTAATATCTTCACCTGGTCTCGACCGATGCTGAGAATAATACATGAAAGTAAAAGATATTACCCATCAATCAAATTCTTGGCAGTATTAAGCTGACTTAATGCAAGTTTGTAGTGATCTTTGGAATATAAAACGTTTATGAGATCTGCATAGAATGGATGTATATTCTAAACCTTATTTGGAAAAATTGCTTAGCTACCTCCACTTTAGGGAATTCTGTGAGAATTGTTTGAAGTTTATCATGGTAAAACTGCTGACACGTTTTGACTTTACGCATATAAAAATGTCTAATACGTCCGATTGCATATTGCGGATGAATAACAGTCGGAGTTTTCCTTTGAGTTTTCGACAAGACGATGTCAATAAAGTCTTTGGATGATGGTACTACCGTGATGCTCTTGAAGTTGTAGCACGGCATGTCAGGTATTTGTTGGTGGTGGACGGAATGTGACCTTAACAACTGGCAGAAATAAACAAGATTCAGTTCTGAGCATCAGAGGAACGAAAAGCATATCAGTCAGCTTTTTTTAACGTTTGAACTGGATGTGTTAACTAATTTGATTGACAATAAATTCCGAAACCTGCTCTATGGAAAACACGTAGCAATCGTCTTAGTCTTCACTATTGAGGATAGGAGGTCTGTCAGCCCATAATTATCCTTACAATTTATAACACTGTGGGGGCCTAGTATCACTTCGAATGTATCAACAGGAGGTGATGATAATACGTGGTGTTGTAGATAATTCCAGTAATTCACTACTCAGTAAAATAAACGAAACTGTTTCAGTTTGGAAAGAACGGTAGGCTTGATGGCCTGTGTTAGTCCTGGCAATGATGGTCTCTCAGTTGATCCAACCTTCTTTTGAAAGAGTCGATGGATGGAGCCTCAGTCACGTGCTGAGGTAATGAATGCCTGAAGAGGAAGTTAGGCAAACACGTTCGAGGTGGATGGGACATGCATTACGGAAATCACGAAACTGCATCACAAGGCAAACTCTAGCTTGAAACCCTGAAAGGATACGGAGAAGAGGAAGGCCAGGGAACACAATACATTGAAAATCGAAAGCAGATGTGAAAGGGACGAATAGTAACTGGGAGCAACTGGAAAGGATTACCCAGGACAGAATTCAGTGGAGGACGTTGTTGGGCGGTCTATGGTCCTCCACGAACTGTAACAGGGTTTAGTACGTAAGTTTTACACCAGATACCGTATTTTACAGATTAATTGTTTGGTTTCACTGATTTTCTCAATTATAAACTAATACACCTCATCGGGTTGGTCGAATAAAAGATTCTAGATATACTGTTGGACAAGAATTCTTTCTAGACACGTTTTCTGTCATCTGGAATGTGCTATCAGCTGAATTGTATCAGAAATAGGCAATAAGCCGTTTTATTCATGAGTTAAATAGACTTCTAGATGACTATAGAACACTACATAAGCTGGCAGTGAACTCAAACCAACGCTGCCAACGATACTCTTGGTTCACTGGATGTAAACAACAATCATACAAATCACCTAAATGTATCAACAGAAGGTGTTGATATTACGTGTCCTGGTACAGAATCCCAGTACTTCACTACTCGGTGCGAGAAACGAAATTCCAGACGTAAGTTATTTGATCTCGGTTTTTGAACTATTGTCGTATGTCCTCTCAAATGAAAAGTCCTAGACGGAAGGAAAGGACAATTTGATGCGAATGATCATAATGGAAGAAAACAATGCTCAGATTGTCACATCAGTAAACGTCAAGTACATCATCATAATGCAAAACCCAAATTACGTTTCCAGAAAGTGACTCCAAAGTACTTATAACTTCGTATTTCCAATAGAAATTCTTGCATCCAGAAAGGCTGTTATAGCAGCCACCCGAAGACTAGTGTTAGGTAACACGGACACCACAGGCTAGTACTTATTAACAGTCACGAGTCACATATGTAGTGGCATCGGACCGTAGCCACACACACTCAAAGGCGAACACGAAACAACTGGTAAAATAGGTATTCAACATTCAACATTACATAATAACCAATCTTCTATTTTTGGATTAGGTCTATTATTAGAGCGGTACTAATATAGAAGTAGACCATACTTCTACACGTATATAACTAAAGATTTAGGCGCTTAAACACACATATTGGTCGGGCGTAACAAAGTAAAAGCACCACTTGTCCCTTCATTCGAAGAGCCATCTAAAACTATCACAAAAGCCCAAATGTTTCGTTGTACAAGATTACAGAGACGCAGAAACAATAGGTATATGTGGACCGCCATATGCGGTATTAGACCATTTACCGGGCGAAATGACTGCAGACTTAACAAATAGCAACCAGAATCCCACATATTTGACCAAAAGAGTTAGGCGGTACAACTGGTTGTCCAGCCAGGGGTATCTGAAGTTTTTGCTCAATCCTAAAATTTCATTACTTTTATTATTATTAATGGCTTTATTCACAATTATATTTCGGTACGACATAATGTTTTCAGCACAAGATATTTCAACGAGCTTCTTTCACAAAAAAACAAAAACAAAAAAGAATGGAGAAGGGTTTGTAGAACTATGGTCTACTATGATATTAGTACTGCTCTAATAATAGACCTAATCCTAAATTTGTAGCTTTTTTCATGATATAACTGCCTAATCTATAAGATCTTACGTGGAAGTCACACCATCGACTACGCCAACTCACTGTATCGTATCAATTACCAATACATGATGAAGAACGAGGTTAGGTTAGAGAAAGAACAATATATTTAATATGAATAGAGACCACGCCTGCATGGCCGAGCCATGCCACTCGATCAACTCCAGTCCATTCAATTCATTGTTCGCGCCTTCTCCATTTTTAGGTATTTCTCGGCGTTAAATATTGAATATTTATTTTCTGAGTAGTCTCGTGTTCACAGCTTTGTGGATTGTGTGGCTATTGTCCAATGCCACTACACTACTCTCCCACCAGAATCAACGTGATGTTGGTTCGATACCAAATTGGATGGGATCGTCGCGCGCCGGAGGTTGCCAAGGATAATAAGAATCCTCCGGGTATTGGTAAGCTGAAAGATAAATCAAAAAGAAAGCGGCAGCATCTGGTCGGGAAATACATGTAATAATTTTAAAATATCTGCCTTCATGTTTAAAACGCTTGAAATGAAAATCTGGGTGAAGATTATTTAAGCTATAAAAAAAATGGGGTTACAATAATAATAATAAAACGATGCGTGTTAATAACTTAACTTATAGGCAGTAATTATTTTGTGTTTAGAAATATTAAAATAATGAATATTGTAGAAATGTTAATATTGGTATTAGTTTTGGTTTAAATTATGAAATCAAATAACGATTATGCCGGTAAGTTGTCCATATGAGTTGAATTCCAATTGCATCTGTATTAGTAGGCTAACTGAAGGAACAAAAGTATACCGTGGAGAAGAATTCCAACTAGTGTTCCAGTTAGTTTGATACGGCTTATTTAGTTACGGGGAGATTTTCTCAACCTTATTTTTACTTGACCGTGATAGAATTTAGTAATACTACTAATACACATGAATGGTTATTAAAAGAAAATTTCAATATATGAGTGATAATTATATGAGTTTTGGACAGATAGCTAAGAACAAATCGTTAAACATGAGTGTATTCGTAAGAGACATGCTCTAGACTCAATGTTCTGAGTTGCCATAGACTATTTATACATATTTATACCTGACGGCTGATGATGCATACAAGTTAGTTGCAAGTATGCAGTTTATCATAAGGCGGAATACGATTTAATTGAGATATAGTGGTTATAAGTTATTGAAATCAGTTAAGCCTATGTGTCATATTACGAAGTGATGTGGTGCTGCAAGATGTATTTAGCTAAATATGTTTTTACAAGATGATTAATAGTGAGTGATGCTCATGTGATTATCAGGGAGAACATAAGTTGTAACCAAGGGGAGGTACACTCCCAACTCATGTCTATGACAATGGCTTGAACCTTAGTCAGTGTTGGGGTAAATTCGACATTGATGTTTTCAGTTTGCAGGAGATTTGCTCGACTGCTTATACTGATTATTTGCATGCATGATTGTGTCGCTAAACCATCAATTAGACTGACAAGGTTTTGAGATATTTATTGAATGAGCAACTGATAGAGAAACATACTGTAATCATCTGTGATGGATGAAGATACCAAGAAAACAACACCATTTAATGGTAGTTATAAGTCAATTTGTTGACCGATTTCGTTAATAGTTTCATTAATTTTATCAATCATATTACGTGATTGTCAAGTTATGACAATGCTTTATGACGATATCCTGAAACTATTATGTTTAACTAGTTATAGTGTTGATTGAGGATTAGTCAGTGGAAAAATAGGTATTGTTGCTTTATGTGATTCGAAATTATCAGAAATTTACAACGTTAAGGAATCCGAGACGCCTAATTTAATTATACTTTTCAATTCAGAAATATTCGTTTACAGTTAATTCTAGTAGGCTACGGAGTTTTGATTTCAAACGTTTGTTTAGCCAACAGCTACCTGAGGATTCAGTTATTTTACTAGTGCAGTTGATAGTACCTAAATTTTTAATCTTATTATCTAAACTATGTTCGCATTTTAGGCTGCTAATATGATAAACCAATCCATAAACCCAAATACGATTAGCAACAACGACTATGATGGGTTTATTGATAAATGCTAAAGGCGACTCAGATGATTCCTAAATTTAGGAGACATGAAGATATAGTGTAACATATGTGTGGGCCAGGTTAACAAACAGGTTGTTGACGTATATGACAATTTGAAAATAATGAACATGACCAGATAAATAATTTTAAAGTTAAGACTGCTTGTGAAACTTCAGGCAGGAATATGATGCGTTATAAACCTTCCATAAGAAGTTACTGCATTTAGCTTAGTGACACTTACAAATATATGGCAAAAGCAACTGAAAAACATATACATCTTAAGTACAAAAAAAAATCATCCAGTAAAATAGTTTAACTCGCCTGGATTATTTTTGAAAATTAGATTATTCAGTGGACGACATATATACTGCCATTCGTGAGTAGTATTGATCCAAAAGCATCCAGAATAAAACATGCAGTATGGCAATTAATTCCAGGGTGCTTGATGCTGTTGAGGTTTTTGACACTCGCTCGGATCAGAACAATCGAATGAATCCAGATAATTGTATGGTTGTCATTGAACGAACCATCTAAAAATGATTGCAGAAAACTTATAGCTGAAACTCACCGTATGTTTTTGGAGTAGTCATCCTCGTTGTTTGGCAATGGAACTCGAGAATATGAAATTAGGCAGGCAGTGGTCGGAAGAAAAGATATTACAGGATAGTGCATCGTTTAAAACAGGATGAGGTGTTAAGTGAAGGAACACTGAGAATTAGATCCAGAGAACTATTTAGTCCTTGATCGCATTGTTAGTCAATGTATATTTACGCTAT